AGTGTCTGCCTTCTTGTTGAAGCGCATGCGACAAAAAGTGGTAGAAAACGAGTAATACGAACGATATGATACAGTCATATCACTTGCTCGCTTTAACAACTGGTGGAGAACGGGTTTGGCACCGCGCCAAACTCATCCCGCCTGACACACCCAACCGTCAGTAGCGAACTACACTATATTTAATATTTTAGGTCGATGTTAATCACAGAAATGTAAATGGTCAAACTGCATTGCATTACGCTGCTAGCAAGAATCACAGAGAGGTGATTTTCATTGTTTGTTGGGTTGCGAAAAAGTAGTGTGTGCGGACAATAAAAACAATAACTATCATTCTTCCAGATTGTGCATTTACTTCTTGAAGCAGGAGCGGACGTTAATGCTTCAGATAAGTATGGCGCAACACCTCTTCACCGCGCTGCCAGTCAGGGCCATGACAAGGTTAGTACGGTAATAGTTAATGAAACAGCATCTAATAATCTAATGGTAGCGAACCCATTAGATTATTCGATGAATTTTCGACACTATTGAACTATTCCTACCCCAGTATGCCTGAATCAGGCCGGTTTTTCACCGAATTTTTATACAAGGGCAGATTTAGCTGAAACTTTGCTTATAAGAGCACTTCGACCTCCTGAACAGGCACCGGCGCCAAAGTACCCTGAATCACCAAATTCGCTGAAAACTTGTATACGGAAGTTATTTGACATTCTGACCACGAATTGACATTTATCCTTGGCGCCGGCCCTTAAATAGATACTATGGTCATCTGCTCTTTGCTAAGACTGAGCCTGGGCTGGGGGAATCACTCCTTCTCCAGTTTCAGCCTCAGCAGAGCGCTAAATAGCGCTGGTATGGAGAAATGATGTCATACTCGTGATCAGGACATCGAATAACATCTATAGACAAAGTTTCAGCGAAAATTTTTTGAGTTCTTGGGTAGGAATAGTTCAATAGTGCCTAGTTCTCTTTATTGTCATTTTCTTCGTCCCTTTTGCGCTTCTTTTCATTTGTACCCTCGTGACAGGGAGGAGGGGGGGGGGCGTATTAAGACCCTTATTTGAGGGGATTGTATTTAGCGGAAAATGATCGCTAAAAATAAATGCCATATTCGTGATCAGGGCATCAAACAACCCTATTACGCAGGTTTTTATCGATTTTGGGAAGAAAAGGTGTGGCGCCAAATGGCGCCAGCGTCAAAAATAAATGCCATATTCGTGATCAGGATGTCAGTTAACCCCGTATACAAGTTTGCATCAAATTGGCGAAAAAAGTGTTGGCGCCTACTTGGCGCCAACTGGCGCCAGCCCCAGAAATGAATGTTATATTCGGGCATCGAACAACATCCAAAGAAAGTTTCAGCGAAAACTTTTTTGAGTTTTGGGGTAGGAATAGTGCCGAATTTTCTATAGGGCAACGTAGCTGGTTCTAGTCATTTTAAAGTATTTTCTTATGACCAGTCGGATTGCCCGGCTGACGCCGAGCTCTTCTCCCTCTCTTGAGCCCGGCTACACCGGGATGGCCAGGCTTAGGCACTCTTCATAATGGGAACGGAACTTCGTCATTCACTGAGCTGCTCATATTCCGCTGTTTTGATCGAGTAGTTAGTAATGAGTAAACCCAGCGCAATTGCTCGCTCTATGAGCCACGCTCATTGGCAGCGAGGCGGGGGTGTGTGTGTTGTCATTGCGCCTATATGATACGATAGAATCTGTAAATTATAGATGAAGGTTACAGTCGGAGCAATACAGTTGTCAATGTGATATCGGTCTCAGTGAGGATTGAACAAATTCCGATTTCCATTATCTGCATAGAAGCTAGCTGAATTGGTGAGGCTGCTCACTCTTCCATTACCAATCCTCTGAAGATCGATAAAAAATGATCGCGTGAGCTAATATTTGAGCTACGTTGGAAAAAAAAAGTAAAACTGCCACTGAAGTGTGTTACATTACTCATTGTCAGTTTTTGGATCTTGATGTTCCCTGAGTTTCCTGTTTCAGGCAAGGTGCATACCCCTCCCCCACGCCCCCATTCCCGCTCAACTTCTTTGCATGCGTATAGCGCATATAATGGTGTATTGTTGAGGCTCTAGCACTTAGGCTGAACAACAACGGCACGTTCGCCATATCGGTCCTAGTCAGTTGATGTCATTGTCATTCACCCACTGTCGCGACGTCCCCACTCCCCCTCTGTATCACTTGCTGAAACCAACGCCTATATTATGCTGTGCCCGCGTTATGATTATGGTGGCCTTCCCATTCTAACTCCCGTTATCAAATCCTATCAGCTGCTAGCAGTTCTTGTCACCCATCGATAATGTTCCTGTCCCACACCCTACACCATACCTTGGAATCAACTTCCCACTGTTGCTGTGTCCCGCACTATGGACATGGTGACCCTTTCCCTTCAGACGCCTCTTATCGGATCTTATCAGCTGATATCACTCCCTGTCACCCATCAATAATCATCCTGTCCCACACCCTATACCATACCTTGGAATCAACTTCCCACTGTTGCTGTGTCCCGCACTATGGACTCGGTGACCCTTCCCTTCAGACGCCTCTTTGTTTATTGTTTATTGTTCTTACACGGCAAAGCGTGTGGTACAATGAAGACAATTAGTAAACAAACGCAAAAACTAATAACGAACAATGTAAGGGAAACGCAAAGAAGAAATATAAAGACAAACGAACAAAGTAAGACAACTACTCAACAAAAATTGAACAAGTTGCTAACATAGAATCAAACGGGATGTCTATGGTACGAGAGTATGTCGAGTACTTTGTTCAAGAGTGGCTTTTAAAGAGAACATTTTATTGGTTGACCTCCCTGAGGAGAGTACCCTGTGGAACTCCCGGACAGTGCGATTTAAGAAAAAATGCTGTCTAACGTTACGCCTGGCTCGCTGAACCGCAATTTTATTGACTGGGCCTAGTGGTGTGTCTCACGAATTTCCATTAAAGTGCTTGGCCTAATACCCGTATAACCATGGAAAATCTTAAAGAGCATTATAAGATCAAATTTACGCCTTCTAAGAGAGAGCGGCTCGAGATTCAGGTTGACAATTATTCTTGCTACCATTACGGGATCCTGTCATAATGAAACCCAACAGATCTTAGAAAGACCTTCCTCGTGAAGCTATTCTGGATCCTTTCCAACAATTTAACGACACGGGCTTTATAGGGGTTAAAAACTACCGTTCCATATTCAAGCAAGGGTCTGATATAGGTCTTAAAAGCCCTACATAGAACAACCGGATCCTCAGACAACAGGGCTCGGAATAGGTTAAGCATGAGTGCCATAGCTTTCGCGGATCGGTGGGACAAATTGGTAAACAATGCTGCGTCAAGAAATCTAAGCAGTCTGGGTAACAAAGAAATCCTAGATCCCTAATAGATGCGTAACCCTTTCCAGGCATTTAATCATCTTCGATGAAGTAATCGGTCTCAATGGCAGCCTGGCCAATACCGAGAACTTTGGTTTTGTCCTTCGCTAAGGGTAAATTCCACCGAGTAGACCAGCGGAACACTTCATCGATGGCCGCTTGGAGTACGACCGCATCATCAAGAGAGCGAATGGGATAGTATAACTTAAGGTCGTCCGCAAAAGCAACGCATTTGACACCCTTTTCGGCCACTAGATTAGGCAGTTCGAAAGTATATATATTGAATAGGATTGGAGACAGTACACCCCCCTGCGGAACTCCGCTGGACATCTTTCGAGGTTCCGAGAAGACATCATTGACTCGAACAAGGTAGGACCTATTGGTAAGAAAGGCTTTCAACCAAATTATAATTCTGAGGGCGTCGGGGGGTATACCAAGTTAAGACAAGCTTATTATATGAGCTTTGCCATGGTGAGACTCTGTCAAATGCCTTGGCGAATAGTTCATTCAAGATAAATGACGATCGGGCACAACCCGGGCTGTATCAAACAGACCGTTCCAGCTCATTGACGGATTGAAGCATACGCGTGTATCGGGAGCCTACCCTTTTGAAAGCCGGGTCGCGGGTGGACGTTGTTGGGATCGCGAAGTTATTATTGCACACTCATCCAGAATGACTTTTATAAATTGGTTTGTCTTGAAGAAGTCTTTCTCAAAAAGCCTCGCGAATATTAGCATTGTGGCTTGGATGGGGGTCTGTGTAGTTTGTGGGAGACTCGTCCTGGGAATCGAAAGATATTCCTACTTGCTGTATCGGAGCCGGGCGCGTCGTAACGGCCGGGGTCTTTGGGCGTGGTGTGACGGAGGCTAGCTGATGGAGGTCCGGGCCGCTTCTTGCGGGGGTATAGGGTGTTGGACAAATGACCTCATCCGCCCACTGCCCGGAACTCTCAGCTCTTCGATGAGCTAAGAGCTTCTAGAATGAAGCTGTAGTGGTGTTCAGAGATCACGTGGCGGAAGCAATCTTCTTAATAAAATATAGGGGGATGTGGTCAGGCGTATCAGAGAATGATCTAGGCCAACTAGTGAGAACCTTGCAAATGTCACGACTGAGGAACCACAATGAGTCATTCATGACAGGAAAGGCCGGTGAAACCGCCGCTTCTTCATAACTACTTTCTTCCACAAACACTTTGTCAAAAATGTTTGCAAATAACTCCGCCTTCCCTTATCGCTAGTAACCTAAACCGACTTCGTCAAAATGCCTGCCTCTTATCGCGGATCTATGATCACTGATATCTACTCGCCTGTCACCCATCAATAATCATCCTGTCCCACACCCTACACCATACCTTGGAATCAACTTCCCACTGTTGCTGTGTCCCGCACTATGGACTCGGTGACCCTTCCCTTCAGACGCCTCTTATCGGATCTTATCAGCTGATATCACTCCCTGTCACCCACCAATAATGTTCCCGTCACAGCCTCCATATCACTGCTTGGAATCAACTTCCTATAGCTACTGGGACCGGCGCTATGAATTTCGTGACAGACAGACAGACGCACACACAGACACACACACACGGACATAGCCGATTATATATAGTAGGATAGTGCAAAGATAGGGATAGACCGCTGTTGGCTACCCATCGGTGGCAGGACTGAGTCAGAAGTAATCCTATCGCAGGTGTGCTCCGAAATCGTTTCACTGCCAAAAGACTTGCACGCAGTGAGAAGCGGTCTGAGTTGCAATTTCTTCTTGTTGTTTACTTATTCTTTTCAAGATTATTGTGAGATTTTTGTTTTCGAGATGATTGTAAGTGAGGATATGTTGAAGCTTAGAATAGTGAGGCTAGGTAATAGGTGAGTGGCAATGTAGATGGGGAAGGGCGCCCTCTCAACTCATCTGCGCTCTCTGAGACCTGAGTCTGTTGGGAGGGAACTGCTATAATTCGTGTACGCGCAGGCTTGGCTTAAATGCGTCGCCGCGTGCCTTCCCCTCATTCATCCAACTTCTTTGGACCTGAATAGGTTCGAACCAGTGGTTTGAATAGTTTGATTTTATAATAAAAAGTTTGAGTGATTTCAATTTCCAGATCGTGCACTTGCTGCTCTCTCGTCCGAGGATCCACATCGACGCTAGAAACTCGGAGGGAAATACACCGCTGTAGGAGAATTCACCTGTTTTTTTTTGTTATGTAAATTTCTGGCACTAAACCAGCTGGTCCGCTTGGCAGCGCCTCTGTGTCCCTTCACGGAATTAGGGCTTGCGATGCGGAAACTTCACTCTAGCCTTTGTTCGAGGGGTGAGGGTGAGGGAACACAGAAGCGTAACCGAGTGGTTCCCTCAGTTACTTTACCGGAAAAAATATTTCGTATTCATTACTTTACAAGTTTATAGATTTGTCGCGTGCGAGGAGGGTCGCGAAGATGCAGCTATCGCTTTGGTGCGAAAAGGAGCCGATATGAAGCTGAAGAACAAGGTGCGCGAGCCTCACTGAAAGGTCCCGAGAAATTTTAAGTTACAATTGAATTCTTATTTACAGGAAGAGAAGTGCCCTGTGGATGTTATTCAAACGAGTGATCTGTTAATAAAGCTGCGTAATGCTGAGAAAGCAGCGCAAGCGATGCAACACTGATCTCTCCCACCAATGTCTTGGAAACCCCGGTCTGATATGATCTGCCTTTTCTCTTACTTGTATTTAATCAGTCATTTTTTCGGGATTTTTTATGTGTGGGCCAATTATAAATTATTTATTGCCTATCGGCTGTAATGATTTTATTACTTGTTTGCATGTTGTTCAATGTATACCGTGTAATTCAAGGAGTAATCCGTGTGTGATTGCGGTGCGGTGTAGTGTATCCAACAATAGTGCAGCCGGTTAGGAGGTCCGTGTTGCGCCAGAGGAGTAAAAACGGCTTTTGCCGCTCGGTGCAACCTGCGGTGAGGCTTGCCAGTGCACCTGTTCCGATAACCCTGTACATTATTGGTAGCTGCGGACGATGGGGGTGGGGGGGGGGGGGTAGGGGGTAGCAAGAGGTGGGTTTGGCGCGTCGCCATCCCGTTTCTTTTCATTTTCTGCTCCGGCAAGTAACAATGTTGTATAACAACGTTCGTATCAATTGTTTTCCACTGTTTTCCCCGCTTCAGCTAGGGAGAACGGGCTGCTTCCGCCAATCCCATTCCACCTGACACACCATTTATCCGCAGCGAAGAAGACTACACCACGTCTGCCCACACAGTTCATTAATTACCCTGGTTTAATTACCGAAGTCTGGGATACCATGGTCTCCAGACGAAGGGTTCAGATCAGGACACTTGTACGTTGAGGATCCCTATTGGAGGTCATATTCGGTCGCCGGAGGAGAGGGAGCCAAGTATGGAACGGTAATGTTTTCCCATTTGCCATTTTCCCCGCCTTTTCATGACATTGCCGACAGGGTAAGGGTACACGCTCTGCGTGTACCGAATATATATTACCCGGATTATATATACCTATTTACCCGGATTATATATAGTAGGATAGTTTGTCAGAGCTGTTTGCTTCCCCTTTGCTCGACAGCGAAATTTTGGGAAAGTTGTGTGTGGGGGTAAATAGGAGGCGAGGTGGGAGTCGCACTGATTAAGTAATGAATAGGGGGGGGGTAGTATACAGAAAATTCCCCTCAGCTACGTTGCGCTCTGGTTCGGATAATTGCGTCACAGAAAGCAGCCGGCCACGATTAAGTTACTCCAGTAAAAATTTGCATCATGATGCTTTAAACACTTTGATTGAGCAGTTTACTACACATTGTATGGGAGACAACATGGCGCAGTTCGGTTTGATGGGGGCATTTTTTGGTTCCCACTATCACTGCCGATGCCTCCTTTGGAGGCTTGTAGATTCCTGTGGAGCTATGCAATAGTACGAGCTTCATTTACAGAGTAGACTGGTCTCACTAGGGTGGTGAGATATGTAATTCAACAGGAATTGGCAAGGGAAACTAGGAGAACTGGAAAATGACTCTTCCTCCCCTTGGCCGAACTGCCCCTCAGCCTCTGTGTATTTCTCACCCACGTCAAGCCCTGGTACCCATTCTCAATGCTTAACATTGTAGAGATTTGGCGAATCGCCTCAGTGACTGAGTGCCATAATGGATGTGACGGCATGACGACGATTATGACCGCCGTCTTTGCTCGAGCTGAAAGCAGTTTGTTATGGTAGAGCGCTCATGGATAATACGCCTTGGCTGCTAGTTGTTTTACAGCTTCCGGAGGTCGTTGTCGCGCTCGGTCAAGTGGATTTGAGCTCTGGTTGACTTACGAGGTCGATCGGAAGATTTTCTATGGCACCTAGAAGAGATGATTGTAAAGGATTTGACAGGTTTGTTCTATTGGTAGGATTTTTCATCGTCTTATACTGAAAGCAAGTTTTCTGTTATACGGTAAGTCTAATCCATTAATTGTTCGCGCTCGGTGCTAAGTAAGGCGATTATTTGTTAATTTGCCGTCCGCTAACAACACTCGGAGTTATGGATACTTGCTGGGCAAAATATAGCTTCGCTCCATAGCAGAAAATCTGCTCTTATATATCTCCGCCCATGATGCTGGAATATTTCGGTGACAAACCAATAATACCCATTTTCTGCTCATCCGCACCCTTTCGACGAGACGGTCTTCACTCAGTGGTCCCTATCACCGGAGATAGACGAGAGTTGTCGTGATGCAGGGCGAATCCTCGACTTCTGTCAGTCTATGGATTGAAGCAGCGAAACCCGTCGGAACTCAGGCGGAGACAATTTTCCTGGGCAAGTGATATCGAGTTTTCCCATCCCTTCGACACTCAAATTCCAGCGACGAGGCAGGACATCTCATCTGTCTGGTGCGGCGCCGCTAGCATGCCCACCAACGCGACATTACGATTGCCTTGTCACTTACTCCCATCGAAGGTTCTAGTTTTTAACTAGTGAAAAAAGATCAAGATACCGTCCAGAACTTGGGATAACGAGAGTGGAGGTTCCGTGTGGGGACTGGGGCTTACCACTTTTCGAAAATTGGCTGCGAGGGCCTAATAAGTCACGTCAGCGAGCACAAGTGTACCATGACTAGGAAAGAAGGCAATGAAAAAACGCCACAGGGAATTCTCACGCTATTCCGAACCTCTTATTGTCATATTAACGGTGCACCCTGTGCAGTCTTGGCCACGCCGGGAACGTGAGGGATGGGGTCCGAGTTCCGCGCAGCCCGTTTTCCAGCAATTGTTGTCGCTTCCGCGCTTCAACATTACTTGAAAGGCGGACTGGCGCTGTGCCAAACCTAGCCTCCCTCCTCTCCCCCCCCTCTGACACGCCACAGCGCCTTCGGCGAAAACGACTATACCTACCGCGACATGGAATTGAGGGCTGTAATCTGTCGGTAATTCTGACTAGTTCTTATTATATTGGATTGACTAGTGAGGGTACTGTAGTTCGCCTCGCCGCGTTTGTATGGCATTAGGGCCCTTATGAAGAGGTACTGTCCAGGAACTCTTCCGGTAATCGGGTCATAATTAGGACCCCTCGTGTCGAGCCGTTGGGAACTTCTGAGTAATCAGGGCTCATAAAACATTTCATGCTACCAACGGATGCGTATTGATACCAGCAACTGTTCTGGAGTTGAGATGCAATATTTCATACCAAAAAATGGTTAGGTGTAATAATTAAGGGAATATTGATTGGTTCTGTCTCTTACCCCAGAAATGAATGCAAATCCTAGCTCGGATTATAGGATAGTAATAAGAGTAGATCCTCAAATGGCTGTTCAAAGCCTCGAGCCGGAAATTGACGGCTCCCATCTAAACCGGGCTAGCGCGATGGATGTGTTGAGGATCTGAACAAGAGTTTAAAATATTTATATTAGCTGAGTATCGTGAATTTATAGAATGCTTTTCACTAACCATAAGCATAGGAGAAAGGTGTGACCCAACCTGTTTATAGGTACAAAAGTAGAGGTTTCGAATACCTTGAATACTCTGCATCAAAATGCCCATCTTACTGGACAGGACAGCACTTACCATTAGTTCTAAATTAGGTTGTAACGCTATTACTTTTCATAATCTTCCGATATGTTTGACTGGTTTTGATTCTGTTGTTTCAGAATCTCAATCGGTGCTCCACCTTACTTGTCTGTACTATTAGGTTGTCTAAAAGTTCGTGGACATTTTTTGAATCTCGTATCAGATCTTTCCTTAGCCATTTCGAGATCCAGTTATGTGGTCTATGGGAAGTGTGTTAAGTAAGCATCCCACAGCTTCTTTACCGTCCCTCGCAGTCGCTGTTCTCATATCCAAAACGGTAATTGAAATTCATCATTTTCGACACACTTCGCTATATGAATCTCCACCAAGCCACAACGTGGTTGGAGCCACAAGCGGCATTTCTCTGAGTTAGGTCTTGATGGTACCTTCCACAGTACGGCGTTGAAATGGCCCGATCGCTTTCGCTTGAGTGACTTCTACCTGGGAGAAAAACTTCGTCCAAGAGGAGGAGGAGGTCCGTCAGGAGGCCAGCTGCCTTGGATTTGGACCTACTGTGTTCCTTGATTAAAACCAATTCGTACAAATCAACTTGCTATCTAGTCCTTACACTTGACTGTCGATCAAAATTTTTCTCATGAGTTGACCAGTACTCCAAGGGGAGCACATGTGGGTACTGTCTACAACTTCTCTCCCGCTTCCGCTGTACGGACTGGTTGAACAGCGCTGTAACTGGATATGGAGTGGTGTCTCTAGGTGAATCACTCCTGGGAGCGCCAGCGGCTAGATCCCCAGAAAGGGCAGAACCGATCGCGCAATCCTATCAATCCAGTAGACTGTGTATGTGGTGGGGTTTCTTTCTCTCTTTCCAAAACGGAATTCCTCCTTTCCAACGCTGTGGTAACCAGGGAACCCTATTGTAATCAACTGCAAAGGGGGGGGGTTGAAAATCCCTACATTTGGTCCCAAAACCGAGCAATGTTTGCCTACTCCACCACAGCTCAGGGTCACACATTTGGAAAACGACACTGCTCGAGATCCCGAAGCTTAGCTGGGGAATTCCACCACAGTCTTCGTGTAGCCCTGACTTAGCTCTTTCCGATCGCCATCTAAACTAATCTGGATAAAAAATACGATTTTTGATAGTACCTCAAAAATGACCCAGCTGCCTTTCTGGGCACAGAACCAAGAAGCTTCTGGAAGCAGGGCAACCACACATTGCGTGGTGGTTGGCAACAAGTTGCCAATGAAGGTGACATATATATATAATGATCAAAATTGCTTCTCACTGGAATAAACTTGAACTCGAAAAAAATGTTCGAAATTTCACGAACTTTTGGGACAACATAATATTAAGTGGCAAATGTTCTGAACTGTTACTTTTCCCGTTTTT